ACAGGGGTCAGTTCTAGGATCAGTGCTATTTATGGTATGTGTGAATATGATGGAAGGGATAGACTCAGAAGTGTCCCTGTTTTTCAGATGTGAAGTTAATGAGGAAGAATGAATAAGAGTGATGGGATCACTTGGAGCAGGACTCTCAAAGAGATTAGGCAGCTGGGACAGTGTGTCAGGAACTGCTTGATCAGAAATCTGAAACAGCCAAATCAGTCATGAGAGATACGGGGCATAGGCCAAGGAGCAGCAGACATGATATAGGTTTGTGGAACAATGATGAAATGCCAAACCTACTAAAGAGTAAAGATTTGGGAGAATAAACAGAGAGGATCCAGGCAAGCTCAAACAACCTAGAAACGGCTGCAGTATAGAAGCGCTCTCGATTTAAACCCTGAGAATAGCGTCATGATTCCTTAGAAGGAAACGCAGACAATGTAAGGGTTTGACATCAGCCCATCCCTCACTCAAGAGCAAAGTTTGGAGCCAAACACCGGGTTCACACGCAAGCTAATTAGGAAATGTGCGAATGAGCGCTGGCAAACGGAATGGGTTCCAGTAGGTTATAAGGGGAATCGCCTGACGAACACCTGGAGGACACGAGTTTGGAACCAACAGTAAGACGTACAAAAAAGTGAAAGTGAAAGGTGCAGACAAGGCTAGTTCCAAAGAGGACAGAAAGGGGGTCCACAAGAAAGGTTGAAGACTGACGATGAGGAAAGAGTTAGGGAACTTTTGATAAGCCATACAAGGTGCAGGACAGGTGAAACAGCAGGATGTTCAGGAGGCACAGAAACATACATAAGTTAAGACGAGGTATGATAAAGTTTTTGGACCCAAGGAGGAATGGAACTAGTAGCGATGTGAAGAGGGGCCCAAGGGAACGATCTTGCAACCACGAGGTATAACACTCTGAGCAGACAAAACAGCTAACTCCGAAGCGGGCAAACAAGCAGTACACCGCAACCACAACACACACACACACACACACACACACACACACACACACACACACACACACACACACTCACACACTCACTACTAACCCCCTACTCAGACCACCATGACCCATACGAGTTTACTGCATGTTTTAGATCTAAATAAGATGTAACAGCTTGGTTGGGTGTTACTAATAATCTGGGCACTAGTTACTCATTAAGAACTTACAAATGGAAGCTTGAGGTAAGCTTAACCTTTTCTTAATCAAGCTTAACTACTTGTTAATTGTATTTCCATACACAAATTAACATCTTGAAAGCAGCCAAATAAACATGTAAAATTTTATGTAATTTTATGATGTTGAAATATTTAACCATTTTTTTTTTTTATAAAAGTAACCTTAAAATTACCTTGAAAATAAGTTATTAGCACAAACTATTTTAGATTTTCACCAACCTCTTATTGAATGACTTAAATGAATCAAACAGCAACTGTAACTACTACACAGCAGAACAAACAAAAGCACTTCTCAGAGCCAACAATAACCTAACTGTCTTTTACTACAATGTCAGACCTTTAAGCAAACATTACGATGACCTCACAGCATTACTAAATTCCCTGCATGCCAGTATGTCCATCATTACTCTCACCGAAGCTTGGCTAAATCCAGATACTACAGATGTCTATGCCATTCCTGGTTACACAGCCATACACAACTGTAGGCCAGATCAACAAGGTGGTGGCACAGCTATATACTACTCAGACCAACTAGAATGTATCAGTAATACTTGCACAAGGGATGAACATGGGGAATATGTAATAGCTAAATTCAAATTTCAAATACCTACAAAAACCTCTGTGATAAACATCTACAGAGTACCACAGTTTTAGTGGAAACCTAGGAAGTATGTTAACTGATGCACACATGAATAAAGATCACTTACTACTCTCAGGAGACTTCAGTATAAATCTCCTGCAAGACAAGGACCCACTTGTAACTGAATTCACAAACACTGAGTAACTGCTTGTTGCTACCAGCAGCAACAAAACCTACAAGAATTAGACTAGTGTTTCCCTATTAGACCACATCTGGACCAACACCATATCCCCTTTAAAGTCAGGCATAATCACAGATAATACACAGACCACTACCCTACCTTTCTCATAACTAATATAGGTAAATTACCCCAAGACACTACTAAAGTAACCTTCAGGCTTCATAATGAGGCTGCCATTAATAACTTCACAACATCACTGACAAACATCAACTGACACTGAGCTAGAAAAATATACAGATACTGACGAATGTATTAATAATTTTCTAAAAAAGACCCAATACCTCTATAACAAGCACTGCCCTAAAAAAAAAAACTAAACAGATCACAGCTAAGAGACTGAACAGTCCCTGGCTAATGCCCAGCATCCTCAAATCCATAAATATAAAGCACCAGTATGAAAAACAGTACAGAATGGGTCACATAACCAGAGACCAAACAAAACGTTACTCGTCTATCCTAACCAGCCTGATAAGAAGGGCAAAAAATTGTATTATGAGAACAGATTATCCAGCTTAAAAGGTGATATAAAAAAGACCTGGAAAACCCTATCTGAAATTCTAGGAACAAGAAAGATATCAGGAAACAGAACAATCACACTAACAAATGCAGATGAACCTCTACTCCCGCCTACTGAAACAGCAAACAGACTGTTTTCCTCTCCACTATAGGAAAAAACCTTGCGGGTAAAATCCCAAGCTCAAATACCCCACCCAATGAGTACCTCACTGGCACCTACCCGAACACATTGTTCCTAACTCCGACTAACCCAACAGAAGTGTCCCTTATCAACACACTAAAGAACAAGACAGGAGATTTAAATAACTTACCACCCTTTATATACAAAAAAGCTATAAAAGTGCTGTAACCGATCATTGCAACACTCTTTAACAAATCCATAGAATCCTCTACCTTCCCTACAGTTCTCAAAATAGCGAGGTCACCCCAATACATAGAGGAGGAGATCAAGAAGACTTGAATAACTATAGGCCAATATCCAACTTACACCCTCAATCTAAAATCTCTGAAAAACTAATGCATAAGCGAATCTATTCCTACCTCGTCTCCCACAACATACTCAACCCCTGTCAGTTTGGGTTCAGGCCTAATAAAAATACGAATGATGCTGTTATGCACATGCTAACACAAATATACACAGCACTCGAGAAAAAAGTCCCATTGGGAATCTTCATTGATTATCGTAAAGCTTTTGATACAGTTGACCATGATTTGCTGCACATAAAATGATCACATTATGGTATAAGAGGGCACTCCCTCAACTACCTAAAGTCATACCTTAGCAACAGAAGCCAATATGTGTACACAAATGGAGCAAACTCTTCCACACAGCCAATTACAGTTGGTGTCCCACAGGAAGTGTCCTTGGCCCTTTTCTTTCTCATTTACATAAACGACCTACCAAATGCATCGCAACTACTCAAACCCACACTATTTGCAGATGACACTACGTAAGTCTTCTCTCACCCAAGCCCAGTCACACTAGCCAGTACTGTAAATACCGAATTACAGAAAATATCTATCTGGATTATTAATAAACTTACTCTCAATATTGACAAAACCTACTACATTCAGTTTGGGAACAGAACTACAGATGTTCCTCTTAACATAATGATAAACTGATGACCTATCACAAAGCTCAGAGGGAAAATTCTTAGGAATCCACCTTGGTAATAGACTCAAATTTCAAACACATGTACAACAAATTTCCAAAAAAATCTCCAAGACCTGTAAGCATACTATCGAAGATACGGTACTATGTTCCACAGTCAGCCCTCCTGACCCTATATCACTCACTTATTTACCCCTATCTCACCTTTGGAATTTGTGCATGGGGCTCAACAACAATAAATCATCTCAGACCATTAATTACCCAACAAAAGGCTTCAGTCAGAATGATAAATTCCCATTCAAGGCAGCATACTCCACCAATATTCAAAACTAAACTTACCATACAAAACATCCATACTTATTTTTGTGCCTACTACATACATAGAACACTAAACTCTGATATAAACCCTCCCCTCAAACTTCTCCTTACCAACCTCAACAGAACACATGACCATAACACAAGGCACAGATCACTTTGATGTTCACCGTGTCCATCTCACACTATGTAAAAACTCGATGCACATAAAAGGACCAAAAATCTGGAACTCATTACTTGTGAATATAAAAGAAATACCGTTTATCAATTCAAGACTCTTCTTAAAAACCACTTATTCAGTGTTTATTTAGTTGTGGTTGAGTAACTGAATCTCATAAATGTATAACGTGTGACCCTAACAGACTGGTTTTATTAGTTACATTACCTAATATAATACTCCATTCTCTTGAATGTACAGTAACTCATCTAATGACCATATGACCTGTTTCTGCACTACAAATAACTAATTTTACTCGATCTGATTCCATTATATTATACATTGTTATGCTACAAATTTGTACAACTTTAATGCTTCTTATTTGAAATATTCATTTGTACTTGATGTTGTAATTTGTTTACTGTAATTTTTACCACTGAATATATCATTGCTTAGTTAATGTAAAGTTAATTTTAAGCTGCCATAATGCTCTGCATACAAGGCGCTTTTGCCATGTACACACAATCACTATATTTCTTTGTACAACTATGTACCATGTGCAAATAAAAATAGTGAATCACTCCGTATGTACACATAACACCGACAACATTGTCACAAACACTAAAGTTTGTAAATATTCTACTAAAGCGTTCGTGAGATATCGGTCAGAAATTGTTACTGAAAATGGAAAAGAAAATCCAAATTTGACTTTACTGAACCTGTGATCCAGCACATGCTGTACACAAGACTGAACCTATGATCCAGCACATACTGCACACAAGACTGAACCTATGATCCAGCACATACTGCACACAAGACTGAACCTATGATCCAGCACATACTGTACACAATACTGAACCTATGATCCAGCACATACTGCACACAAGACTGAACCTATGATCCAGCATATACTGTACACAATACTGAACCTATGATCCAGCATATACTGTACACAAGACTGAACCTATGATCCAGCACATACTGTACACAATACTGAACCTATGATCCAGCACATACTGTACACAAGACTGAACCTATGACCCAGAAATACTGTACACAATACTGAACCTATGATCCACCCAACATACTGTACACAAGACTGAACCCTATGACCCAGCACATACTGTACACAAAGACTGAACCTATGATCCAGCACATACTGTACACAAAAACTAAACCTATGACCCAGCGCATACTGTACACAATACTGAAATATGATCCAGCACATACTGTACACAATACTGAACCTATGATCCAGACTACTGCAAAACAAGACTGAACCTATGATCCAGCACATACTGCACACAAGACTGAACCTATGATCCGAATTTACTGTACACAATACTGAAACCTATGATCCAGCACATACTGAAACACAAGACTGAAACCTATGATCCAGCAATACTGTACACAATACTGAACCTATGATCAGCACATACTGGTACAAAGACTGAACCTATGATCCGCACTACTGCACACAAGATAAACCCTATGATCCAGCACATACTGTACACAATACTGAATTTATGATCCAGCACATTACTGTCCCACAAGACTGACCTATGATCCGCATTATGTACACAAGATGAACCTATGATCCAGCACATACTGTACACAATACTGAACCTATGATCCAGCACATACTGCACACGAGACTGAACCTATGATCCAGCACATACTGTACACAAGACTGAACCTATGATCCAGCACATGCTGCACACAAGACTGAACCTATGATCCAGCACATGCTGCACACAAGACTGAAAACTGCATGTTAATCAGAGGCAGACATGCATTTAAAGCAAAATATGTAATACCCATCTCGAGAACTTAGCCAAGTAACTCCCCCGTCCTCATCCAATATCTATCTATCTATCTCTCTCTCTCTCTCTCTCTCTCTCTCTCTCTCTCTCTCTCTCCTCTCTCTCTTTCTCTTTTCTCTCTCCTTCTCTCTCTCTCTCTCTTTTTCTAGTGAATCATTTTAGTATACATGAAAAAATATGAGTGTATATTAGTTTCAAATTGAACCTAACCAGACTATCCTGTCAGGTCAATGAGTGTTCCAGGGAGCGGGTGTTCCATGGAGCAGTTTTCCCAAGGGAAAACCGGTGCTCCACACGTTTTTTTAAACTTCACATTATGCTATACGGCTCGAGTCATTACGAACCATTTTTATGCATGCATGTATACATGTGTGAGTGTATGTATGTGTATATTGTGTTGGGAATTGCATGGGTGTACCGCGTACGTATATGCGCGTGCGTACGAATATCGATGTCCGGGTGTGTTCCAGGACAGGTATGAAGAAGGCTAGGACAAGTGTGGCCGTCAGTGTAATGTTGCGATTGCGCGTGGCCCGTAAATAAGAGTTCAAAAAATATTTACATAAAAATCGATGAATGAATTTCAAATTTCGATGATAGAGTTCAAAGAGGATAAATTATATAAGAGGCATCTGGCACTATTTCCCTTCCGTTGACTCTCGTGCGCCTTATACAGTAGTATACCTTGGTCTAGTACACACCTACACGTGCAATAAGATCACGGTAAACAGGTGATATCACAATATGCAAAACAACCACTGTGAAAAAGAGTGAAACTTCCAAGAGCTTTCGTGATAATGTCCAGAAATTACAAAAGCATTTGAAAATTTCACTTGTTTTTTCCAGTGGTTGTTTTTGCGTATAGTGGAGTGTGTTAGTGTGTGAGGTCGGTGGGGTGGGACCCAAGGGTGGGACCCCCCATGAAGTAGTGAAAAAAATACAGGTATAGATTAAAGTTTGGTGAGAAAGTTTCTCTTGTATGAGTTCTGTGTACACACATGATACTATCACAGTGCCAGCTCGGTCTGCACATGTCTCCTCTCTTCAGTGTTATCGGCACAACACTGCTGCATCTCTTCGTGAAGCCGTGTCGGTAGACATGCATGTGTCTCATGCAGTGCAGGTTGCTGTTGTATATCTCATATTGATCACTCATGACTAGTCAGGTGTGAACTTGGCCACCCATGGCACATAGCCCATACTCCCGTTTTCACGAACCTGATTACATTAACTCCATTTATTTTGGCATAGATATGTCATTGTCATGTATACTCTTAAAGTATTACCCTGTTGCAAATCGTAGAGATATTAAATGGTATTCAGTGATTCAGTGCAACCAGTGTGGGCTGGTTTACAGTGACTCAGCTAGTGTGTAAAGCAGTGGTAACCAGTGTGGTTTAGGACGTGGGACGGGCAGGGTGGACCACCTCTCCTCACTCTACATCATGAAGAAAGTGGTTCGTATCGCATTCTATCAGTTAATTTGCATTATTAATAATTTTTATAGTTTTCATTCTTAATTAACCGGTGGTGGCGTGGATGGACCCTAGAGGGCGTGTCAAGACTTGTAAATGTCAGGGACATGCATAAAACCCCCTTGTGATGTATAACAGTACAGAAGAGGTAATCCCCCCTCTTGTGATGTATAATAATCAGATGTACCCTGTTTCTCTTTATTCATTTTTACCTTTTCCATCATTAGTTACCGTGTTGAGGAAACGTATATTGATTTTACTTGTATAATGTTCATACAGGTGCTAGAATTGGTGCACAATTACTTATTTGTATTCCTGAGTGTAGGAAACCAAGCGTACAACACATCCTTCATACATGTGAATAAACGGTGCAGGAGGGGCTATCGGTCACTTTCTAGTTAGGTCAATTTCACACCCAACTGTATACACATCCAACCTACATTTCCAGCTACCCAAAGTTCTCTGCCCAGGGACGCTACCCGGGAGTATGGCATATTTAATGTAGGCTTCAGGACTAGACTGATAATTTCCCTGTATTTAGTTATTCTCAGTTAATTTATATCTACAGTGTAACTTAATAGTCTTGAAGGTCGTCTTCGGGTAATTACAGCAGCAGGTAAATCATAAGGTCCAGAATATAAAAAAATGCATTGGTAAAGACGAGAAATAACAAATAGCCTAACTTTTTGTGATGAATGTTAGTTGTCCCATTGTTACGGGTTTCCAGGTTGAAATTTAATTAAAAGTTCGTAAAAACTTGAAAGTTTCTTAGATTAATTTTTACTGGTGCTACGACGAACATACATTTAAATGGAAAATTCATACATAGTAATGTAAGAGTATTTCTTGTGAATTAGGCGAAATTTGGGGATTTTGATTTTAATGGTTAAAATCATAACCATAATTTTAAGGGGTGGTGGGGTAAGTGCCACAAAGACCTCGGTAGATGACAAAAGCTCCAGCTGCGTGCCATCATACTCTAAGACTCGCGTCAGGAAACTTATGTTTCTGACGATTTTTGCTAAACCTAGGCGAAATTATTAGAAATTTTGGTTCGTGTGGTTGTTATGTTTGCCAGCATGATAGGCTTGGGTTTGAAAATTAGTTGTTGATATGCTTAGTGTTAAAGAGTGTGGTGTGTGTGTGTGTGTGTGGGGTGTGTGTGTTTTGTGTGTGTGTGTGTGTGTGTGTGTGGGTGTGTGGTGTGTGTGTGTGTATAGAGATAAGGTGGGTATAGGTTTAGGTATGACTTAATTGTTGTATGTGTTAGTGAGTGACGTTTGGCGTGTCACTTGTATGTTGGTTCGCAACCAGCTAGTGGACATAAACCCTTGAAGACGGAGAATGGCAGGAAAATTAACGTGAAGCAGACACAACAGCAGAAACAGGAAGAGGAGCAGGATCAACGGCAGCAGCCGGAAAGCCCGCAGCAGGACCATGAAAACAGCAGGGTTGGAGGACCCCCAAATCGGGATGAGGGTTTTGGTCAGCTTTTTTTTTTTTCCCCACCACATGTTTTTGTTCCCTTTCCTGTGCTGAGCCATCACTAGCAGTGCTCATGGGAAGGTCTTACCGCTGCTCCCACCACATCGTCCCCTTCTCACAAACCCTTCCAGCTGCTCAGCCTACTTAATCTTTGCCAGACGGCGGCGGGATGAGAGCAGACGTTGTATCTGGTCGTCAAGACCTTACTAGTAGGCCGACCAACTATAGACTCACGCAGGATATTTCAAATGAGTCTGTCAAACTAAATTTTATGGTCGGGTGACACGTTGGTGGTCCTCTAAAGACCTTCCCTTCAGTACCTCGCTAGTGTTTTTGCTTTTTGTTTGCAAATTTTGTACAAAAGTGAAGTCCTCCGAAACTCAGTAAAGCTTCCTCGGCAATGTTCAGTTTTTGGTCTGTGTTTTCTCGTGATTTTTTATTATTTCGTGGCTGCGAGAAGATTTTGCTTGCAAGTACAGTGACGCATGTCAGGTCACTTAGTGTGGGACAAGTGAGGTCGCATCACCGGTGGCGACACGCGAAGGTCGCCATCACCGGGGGCGACACGCGAGGTTTGCCATCACCGGTGGCGACCCCGCGAGGGGCGCCACACGGTGGCGACACGCGAGGTCGCCATACCGGTGGCGACACGCGAGGGCGCCATCACCGGTGGCGACACGCGAGGTCGCCATCACCGGTGGCGACACGCGAGGGGCGCCTCACCGGTGGCGACACGCGGGGGTCGCCATCACCGGTGGCGAACGCGAGGTCGCCATCACCGGTGGCGGGCACGCGAGGTCGCCATCACCGGTGGCGGGCACGCGAGGTCGCCATCACGGTGGCGACAGCGAGGTTTGCCATCCCGGTGGCGACACGCGAGGTCGCCATCACCGGTGGCGACACGCGAGGTCGCCATCACCGGTGGCGACACGCGAGGTCGCCATCACTGGTGGCGACATAGGTGAAGTCACCCCGAAGTCACCATACGGCTTCACTTATACAGTCAACCCTCTTCATCATTCCTTCACTACACTACTCTTATGAACTTTTGCAAATTTATTATGTGCTGTGATATTTGCTTATTTCAGACTCAGAGTTTCAAGGTTTTTTAGTAATTGATAGTGCATGCTTCACAACGGTTCCCAGGGACTGTGTGTGTGGTGTGTGTGTGGGGTGTATGTGGTGGTGTGTGTGTGTGTGTGTGTGTGTGTGGGTGTGTGTGTGGTGTGTGTGTGTGTGTGTTAGTGATTCCTTATCAAATCATTTTCTTATATTTTATAATTTGCTTATTAAAACTTTTGTAAAAGAACCTATTATCTGTAATTTATCATTATATACACATGTTATTTTATATATTCACTCGTATACTGTTTTATATTAACAAAACAAAACACACACACACACACACACACACACACACACACCCCACACACACATACGTGGGTCCGTGGGGTGAAGGACGTGGGTAACAAGGCTCCGAGAACCTTGGCGTTGGAAAGACGCGTAATATCAGCTAGAAGTAATCAGTGGTAGTGGAACGTCAGTGAACAATACTACGAGTGATAATTAAAGTTATTAGTTAAAGAAAGTGAGAGGAAAGCTGAAATCATAATATTTCAAGCGCAACCGTGGGGGTCTTAGGCGCTGTTGCCACTTTGGGCAGCGGTTAGGCCTGATGAAGTGACGTCACGAAAAGTTGTGTGCCATTATACATTTGAAGGGGAAGTGTATATAATGTGAAGTGTATACTACCATCAGTGAAGAGTGAAGTGAGGAAGCGGAATATATGGTTATAATCATCACGGGTGAAGGATCTCCAAAAAATAGGGATTTAAGGCCTACGTACGACTACGTCATCAGCAGCTGGAACTGTCAACCGAAAGTTTATTCGCCTAGTTGTGGTTTGCATGGTTGATCGGCCCTGGCTGGCCTTGTATACTGTTGATACTGGTCAATTTCACTCCTGCAAGCTATTACCAGAATTAGAATAGAAATAGCATAGACATAGAGAATATAGTGTTGACGAGTGTGAGAAGGTAGGTGGGACAAGCTTTTAAGGGCAACATGGTAAGACGGTGCTAGGGGGTCCCAGGAGGGTT